GGACCACTCACATGCTAAGCGAGTATTATACCACTAAACCATTCGCCCAAAGGATGATTTCGCCCGGACTTGAACCGGAGACCTTCAGTGTGTTAGACTGACGTGATAACCAACTACACCACGAAACCAGTGATTGTTGAAGAGATCGGCAGAAATGAGCAATATGAATGTTGGGCGCTGTTGTGGGTGGGTAGGGCAGGGCATGGCGGGGCTGGACGGATGGCTTCATTTCGTGGTTGCATGCGTCGGCGAGAAGTGAATGCGGGGCAAGCCATTGGGGTGAATGGGCCAGAAGAAAAAAGCTATTGAGGGCCGCTCTCTCAAGTTCTATGGTAAGTAAGGTCTATTCAATCAGGCTTGGACGAAAGGAATATCCCGGTTTCTCGAAAATTACAAGAGCCACAATAGGATTGGCACCGAGGACCGAGATGAAAAAGATTCTTCGGTCCTCCGAAATGCTGGTGGTGTGGGACCTTGTTCGGGTCCGGCACAGGTGCCGGGGTTGCCGTGTGCGGCTTTGAGCTATGTTGGGCAAGTATTCGGCGGGTTCTCGCCGTCCATAAGCATTGTCAGCTTTACAGGAGTTCAGGAGTTAAGCGAGTGCGAAGAGCTGTAGTTACCAATGACAGGTAAGATTCAAACCCGCAAAACATAATGAGTGTGGCTGTGACGGGTTTGGCAGGCAGCATGCAGAACGTGGACGCCTCAGCTTGGCATTCGTAGCAGAGCATGTCGACAGTGAAATCTCAGGGTCCACTGCCACACTTTGCAACGCATGGTATGCTTAACTCAGCTGGTAGTTGCGTGACTGTCTTTTTGTCCGGTTCATGATGAAAGTGATTTCGTTCGAACGGAGGTTCATCTCAAACTTGCGATGACAGGAGAACAGACTTTATGGATGCAGTACTCTTAGGTACCAAACCCTGTCACCCAGTCTGAATGTATTGTCGCGTTTTCTATGCCCTTTCAGCTAGACTATTCATCGTATCTCCAACAAGAACTCGGGTTTTTATGCTGCCTCCCACTATTCTCGATCACTTCAACCGTCACCGCAGCCATTGCCAGCTAGTGGGACTTCAGCGCCTAAAGTAGGACTCAAAGCATCACAACACACGCAATTTACGGGACTTTCTCATACCTTCTGAGCCAAGACTTAGTGCAACAACAGCCACGCAGATCTCGTCAGCAGGGCTGAGGTGTAGGATTCAATCTACTGTCGGACTCATCCCCTGGGGCCTTGTCATTGGGCGAGATACACGCTCTCGCACCCGAACCCCCGGCGTTCGCACTCGCTTAATCCAATTCTGTGGGGCACAAGCTGCCTCCGGGCGCCGAACGATCAAGGGGTCCACGACCGATCTGCCCCTCCGAGTGGCAGTGATGGGAGGTCTCCCGTCCAGGCAATCGGTCTGTGAACAGCTTAAAAGAACGTCTTTGCTCTAAGCCTTAGTTTATGATGAAAAGGCCACGAATGGTTGGAAATATTAAATCGCCGACACATGCAGAAACACCATCCTCGATACCCTAGAGATACATAAACAGACGGTTCTTCACTTACACCAAAATCTTGCACAATGGCCGAGCGCGCATTCCGCTTCCGTGACGGCGTCGCAATCGCCCAGATCGCCGTCTTCTCCGTCTTCCTCGTCTTGGGCATCCTCTTCAAGGTCCAAAAGAGAATGGGCTGGTTCGGCATCTCCTTCATCTCAATAATACGCGTCGTCGGCGCGGGCTGCATGCTCGGCACTATGTTCAACGACTCAAGGGGCCTCTGGGCAACCATCTTTGTCTGCGAGTCTTTAGGACTTGTGCTTCTTACGTTTGTGTTGCTGGATCTATTAAAGAGAGTGTAAGTTGCCCGTCTATCTTTGGTTGATACGACCCTCGCATGCTAACTTGGTGCTTCTCCCAGAAACAACTTCGTTCAGGTCCTCACGCCGTGGCACTTCCGCATTCCGGAGCTCATCTGCTGGGCTGGCCTCGCCATATCCATCGCCGACTACGTTGTCGCCAGTAAGAAGACGGAGAACGCCATGGCGCCTGGGTCGCTGACCAAAGCCGGGGTGGGCCTCTTTGCCGCGCTCTACTTCTGGGGTGTCCTCCTTTACGTCTGGCTGGCGCAGAAGTGGAAACTGGTCCCCGAAGGCGAGCAGAGGTCCATGATCGGCTTCGGCACATCTTTCCCCTTCATGGTCGTTCGCATCGCGTATACGATCTCGTACGTTAGCACCGGAGACGATAAGTTCAGCGCTGTGAAGGGGGATACGGCGACGTATCTCGGCATGACCGTCTTGATGGAGTTTGCTATTCTGGGCGTTGTGGTATGGACTATTATGGGTCTGGAAAGACTTCATGTGCATGAGAAGGTTGGGCAGGGCGAAGATAAAGGGGCCAGCATGGATGAATTGGTTGGGCCTAAGCCAAGAAGTAGCGGGGAGGAGGTGAATACAGCGTATGGAGAGCGGAGGGTATAGACGGTCATAATCGTGGCCATGTGTTTTGAAAGCATTTAGATGAGATACCCAAAGCCTTCTAGCTTTTTGCTTCTTCTAATCTTCAGCATTCTGCGTTGTCAACGAGACACTGTCAAGTTTCTTCAGAGACCGCCTCAAGCTACCGTTCCTTCGGTTGGTGGAGGTCGGGCATCACCGGGCAAGGGCATTTCCTAGAGCCCGTTAGCATTCACTCCAGCAATGGGCATTAAACAATGTGGACACCAACCAATGAGTGAAAAAGCGATCCAGATGCCTGTCTGGAGCGGAAGCTTGGGCGGGCACCATCTAGGGTAACATCAGCTCACATGGCCTAAACTCATTTGCATGCTTAATCGAGTACTCACAATGACCCAGGAAGCTTCAAGAAGGAGCACCAATATACCCAAGGTGCTGCATACGCGGCACCAAAAAGCACAACTCCAGTCAATCCCCTTAACCACCTGTCGTCCACACGTCTGTCTCTTCTCCAATGTAACGGTATAGCGAAGAAGGCGGTGCCGAACAGCAAGGCAGGCGCGAATGCCATGAAGAACACATTACCCTCCATATGTTTCTTGATGATTGAATTGGGAAAGCGATCCCAAGTAACCCCTATGAACACAGCAGAGATAAGGTGGAGTATCATCTCTGCCACGACCGTACTACGGTAAGAGTCGAGGTAGACATATTCCTTCTCCAAGGGCTCCGTTGCGTCCGTTTCGGTCGTCTGAGTCTCAGAGGACCTTCCGTCACAAGCATCGTCAGCAGTCGTGAGCACAGCGCTGGAGGGCTCTGTGCTTTGCTCCTTCTCCTTTCCTTTATCAACTGGCTTGTAAGTGGACCAGTCGCTGGTTCGTACAGTAACAAAGACCCAGAAGAGAGTCATCAGAACCATGTTCATGCGCGGACGGGAAGCATACAGGGCAAAGATGATTGCGAAAGACAGATGATCGTATCCCTCGGTATTGACCACGACGAGACTTGCGAAGAGATTCCCGAGAAACGTCATCGAGAAGCCCACCAACCATGAATACCACACGGAGCTGCACCGTCGTGAGGGTTTGTCAGGGAGTTTGCCCAAGAATCCGCATGTGATCTTCTTGAGAATTGGTCTGCAGCAGATGATTACTGCAATGACTCCAGACACGACATCCGATATAACGAAGGAGTTGATGGTTTCGCCCATAGATGGGCATTGGCCGTCCGACACGCTGCTGTTGCTGCTCGGGGCGATGATCCACTCGACCGGGATAGGAGGAAGCTCTTCTGGATCAGATGTCCCATCGCGTATGGCACCATATAAGGCGGTATTTCCAAGAAGCAACCATGTGGTATAGCTGGGCTCGAACTGACCTGCTGGTTTGGCGTTTGAAGGGAGACCGTTGCCAGCTCCCTTCGGGGTGTTTTTGTTTCCTTTGGGATTACTGGGACCGGCCCTGGTAACTAAAGAAGTAATGCCCATGACCGAAGACGATGAGAGGAAGAGCTGGTGAATTATCTTGATGATTGAAACCAGAGACCCAGACCACATCACGATCCATGGGCCTGAGATCCTTATAACATCTAGCCATCACAGCCTGTTCTCTTGGTTAGGTATAGGATGTGGCTTGTCATACAAGTTCGGTTATCATTGGCCATGTTTCTTGCCGAAGCTTCGTGTCTGGTCAAACGGTCTCAGCCGAGTACAGACACTCCATGAAGTGGTTTGCGCAGTTGAGGCTCGGCAAGCCCAGCCACGCCCTTCGTTCACTTGGCGGCAAGTTGACCTTCTGCTACTCTTTTTGGCATAGCAAAAACCCCCTTGGGGTTGTTTCACCCAACCGTTCTTTTCGCGTGATTTCAAGCTGCTGTCGTTCGACTTTTAAGTCATTTCTTGTTCGGTGCGCAAGCCTCCATGAATGCCAAGCAGTGGGTGCTCTGCTATGGAGGCTGATCTGATGCTCTCGCAATATCATTCAATCTCCCCAATGTGGATTGAATGAAGCAGCATCATGACAAATTTTATCACATCTTCAAATTAGAGAGCAGCGTGTGAGAAACCCGACTCTCGAGCCCATTGCCGAGGGTGTTGACGGCAAGTGTACGGATGCCCGACCTTGTTGTCCATCTAACATGGTACGCGACACCCAATGTCGAGCAAAGAAATACGACGGCATTCATGCTCGCTGGGAGACCAATTGATCAATGAGAATCTTTTGTTTGGATGGTGACACAGAGCTGTATTGACAGCATGAGCTTGTCACTGTCAAAGCGAAGTCGTCGTCAGTTCAACCCACTAAATCCAGGAACTTCGGGCAAGTGCGACCCAGTCAGGCACTTTCCCGTCAAGTGTACCTTAGGGTACCCCGTCCGCTGTAGCTTCCGCAGCTAGGGGTCTCCACCACACCTCGTCAGTGGAAGGTACCCCGACTTTTCAGCCTCGCGTCCAACTTCAATTCCGCCCCTCGAACGGCGCCTCGTCGCAACCTCACCACTCGTCGAACCACCCCAAAGAAGCGACGCGATGGCGGCTCAAGACGCGCCAAAGCTCCTGTGGAATCCCGACAACGTCAAAGACGTAGCCGAGTCCGTCGGCATCCCGAACCTCAACGACGAAGCTCTGCGCTGCCTCACCCAGGATGTCGAGTACCGAATCGGCCAGGTCCTCGTCGAGGCCCTGCGCTTCATGCGCGCTGCTCGCCGCACCACTTTGACCGTCAACGACATCAGTACCGCTCTCAAAGTTCTTAACATCGAACCTTTGTACGGATACGACTCGACGCGTCCGCTGCGATTCGGCGAGGCTAGCCTCGGCCCCGGTCAACCGCTGTTCTACATCGAGGACGAGGAGGTCGATTTCGAGAAGCTCATCAACGCGCCCTTGCCCAAGGTGCCGCGCGACATGAGCTTCACAGGTGCGCCTTCCTTCTCTTTTGTCTGTCTACTCCATCTAACCTTGTATCGTCAGCACACTGGCTCGCAATCGAAGGCGTACAACCATCCATCCCCCAGAACCCGACGACAGCCGAATCCCGATCGCAAGAACTCGTACCCAAGGGCCCCGGTGCTAACCCCGCCCTGGCCGCTCTTGCCGGCAACGACTCCATCTCATTCCGACCCGCCGTCAAGCACGTTGTTTCTAAGGAACTCATCCTCTACTTCGAAAAGGTCCAGAACGCCATCCTCGACGACAATCCAGACGAGGAAGTTGGGCGTCTCCGCCAGGCCGCTCTTGCCTCCGTCCGCGACGACCCCGGCCTGCACCAGCTGATCCCCTACTTTATCAACTTCGTCGCGAACCAAGTCACCCACCGCCTCGACGATGTCTTCATCCTCCGCCAGTCCATGGAGCTGACGCTGGCCCTCATCCAAAACAAGAAGCTCTTCCTCGACCCCTACGCCAACTCCATCGCCGCACCCGTGTTAACCTGCATCCTCAGCCGCAAGATCGGCGCCGAGGACGGCTCTGATGCGGTGAAGGAGCAGTACAAGCTACGCGAATTCTCAGCGTCGCTGCTCGGCGAGATTGCGCGGAAGTACTCGGCCTCCAACAACCTCCTCAGACCCAAGCTCGTGCGCACGTGTCTGAAGTTCTTCATGGACCCGGATAAGCCCCCCGCTGCGCACTTTGGCGCCATCTCTGGTGTCGCGTCGGCTGGCGGTCCCGAGGCGGTGCGTGTGCTTGTGCTTAAGTGTCTGAGGGCGTACCATGACAACATCCTTCAGCCGTTGAAGGAGAAGGGCGAGGGGATCGACTTTGAGATGCTGGTTGGTGGCATTCTGAAAGCGATCAGCACAATGGCCGAGAGCGACAAGACCCCCGTCAACGGCGTGAACGGCAGCGTCGACAATTATGCCACCGAGCTCAACGAGTTCATCGGCCCCATCCTCGGCGCCCGTGTACTCAGCTCAGGGAACTCAAGAGTGATCCGGCAAATTCTGGATGCCCGAAACATCGAATAGGATCGATATGTGGTGTACGGTCAACCGATGACCCCGAGATCAATGTGAGGGTACATTCGAGTGATTAAATATCTGGGAGGCGCATCGGCGTTTGGGCTGGACATGGTAAAACAGGATTAGGAGGCATACCACTTTAGTTGGCGACCTGATGTAGATAATTGATCACGGGTCTCTAAACGTCTGTCCTGCTGCACTCACCCTCCGAAGTACGGAGTTGATCGCGTGCCACCAATACTTGCATGTTTTGTGAACGGGAACAATGGATTAACTTGTTTGATACTCAAGGGAACTCATTTTACAGCTTCCAGTCTATACAACTCCCCCGCCTTAAGCAGAGGGGGGAGGGCCTTGCGCCAGACAATCTTCCAGCAGAGTGCCATCCGATCAGAACTCCAATCGCCGTCTCCCACCATCAACACACACATACACTTTCCGCTCTCCCGCGTCTCTCTCCTCGTCCCCAATTACCACTCCGTGCCCATCATCCGCAAACCCCAAACCCAGCTTCTTCCCCCTTACCACGCAAAAGCCAGACCGAGCGCCGACACAAGCGACGTGGACCAGATAACCCAGCCCCACTTGTTGATCTCAGGCTTGGCGAAGCCGAGCGCGAAGTCGTACGTCAGGTGGCGGATGCCGTTGAAGAAGTGGAAGGTGAAGGGCCAGGCGACGAGGAACTTGAGGCCGGCCTTGAGGGCGACGGGCGCCGCGGCGGCGGCGGAGACGAGCGAGGCGGCCTCGACGTGCCAGCCGAGCAGCGGCGCGACGAGGTAGGTGCCGAAGTAGACGTAGAAGGCGGCGGAGAGGCCGCCGCCGGTGATGCGCGTCCAGATGGAGGCGCCGAACCACGTCTGCTCCATCTTGTAAATTGTCAGGTGCGGGGAGATGGGGCGGTGCAGGCGCTGCTTGGCGAGGATCTCGTTGCCGTCCGCGACGGAGACCTTGGCGGTTGCGACGGGGCTGTTTGGGGCAGGAGGGTTAGCATCGTGGTTCGTGGGGTGGTCACATGTGTTGGAGGTTTGAAGGTTCCAGGCTCTGGGTGTGAGGGAATAGTTTCGAGGGATTGTCGACGGGGGGAGTAGTTTGCGTACCGGATCTGCGTCGTGGACATGCTGGAGGCGACGACGGCCTTGGGGATCTGGGAGTTGAAGAAGACGGAGGGCTTTCCTGCCGCTGTAATGCCAATCGCCATCGTCAGCGTTTCCCGTTCCTCTGGAGTTATCCCCCAAGGGACTTGAATGATGTAAACGCACCTCGGCGCAGGGCCGATACGCCCACCCGCTGCGCAATCATGTTGGCTGAATGTACTCGAGTCGTTTCGTTGCTCTTAAGATCGAAGTTCGGGTCGCGGTCGCGGGTGGTTCGTTTCGCGGGGGATTGGAGCGGCTCGGGCGTGGGTGAGGTTGCAAAAAAGTGTTGATGTCAAGCTTTCCCAGAGACACACCCAAGGATTCAATGGCAGCAGCCAGGCGCTCCAGTGGAACCCGACCAGACACGGGAATCCCCTCGGCTTTTCGGCTGCGATCGACCAATCAGCGCAGACTACTTCCTAAGCTGCAGTGCCCACGTGATCCCTGGCCATCGGAAGGTTGCTCAAGGTTGGGTGGACCTCATCTTAGCTAAGCACGTATCGAAGCACAGACCACCCGAAAAATTCTGGCTGTGCCTCAAAACGCCGGCGAGCTGGAGGAGTTCTTTTCCCTCTCTTCTTCTTTTTCTCTCCTCAGATAGATAATGGCCGCCCGCCGCAGTACACCTAATGGCGATGGCTCTTCCCTTGGGAGGAGTTCGGAGCTGATGAGAGACGCTGCTGGTAAGCCTTTGGGCTATGGGGGGACCAGAGAGTAATTCTGGGAATGGATCCTTTCGTTGATCTCGGTTCTGGTTGAATCCCGTCTGGAAACCGTTTCATTTATGGGTATCTACATACTTTCGCCTGATGACCATGTTGTGATCCGTTCCATGTCGTAGACGAGCCGCCGGCAGTATGCAGGCCTCGTCAATGACCACTGCTAGCGCTCGCGAGTGCCTCCTGCTGATTTTGCCCACGAACGGGAATATTAGCATAGCGCACGGCAGGCGCTAGCTCAAATGCGCCCGAACGACGGTGAAAGGGTTCACAGACGAGACGTATAAAATCACTCGCATCTGGAATGCCTGTCTACCCGTAGACCAACCCAATGAGCTCTTCTCGTTGTGTGTAGTTCTTCGCGACATCCGAAATACCATGTCCGAATGTACCGACCCGTGGGCCAGGAAAATGATTTATCCAAGACCACCGAGTCTCCGGCGCGAAGTTGCAGCTATCACCGCCTGTCTCGTATTCCGGGCCGGATAAACGGGAAAGAGCACTGCCGGTGGTGGTCCTGTCGCAAGCATGGCTTCCGGACATCTCTGGAGAACGAGTCGCTCGCAATAAACATCGACTTCGTAAATGGCGGCTGATGTCTTCGAGACTATTCGTTGACATCGCAAGAACCATCGGCTTCATTGTGATGGGCACTTAACACCGGAGGCGGATCTGTATAAATACCTGTCACCCCCGCGCAGCTCGAACCCAGACCTGTGCCGTCACGCCGAGGCCATCACAACCGACGGAAACACAGCTCCCAGAGAATCACTTCACCAGACATGACCATAAATATCCTTCCCATCGCTCGGGGGGTCAAGTTGTGCACGCCAGATAGTAAAGCTTGATGAAAAACTTCTCATGGGCCATTCGAGCGAAGACTTGAGATGCTAGGCGGAACCTTGAACAAAGTCCAGCTCAGTCACCATACTTTGGGCAGATATGTACCTGGCTTGATCTATTCCGTAACTGCAATATGCAAAGGACGAAAACCATGGCGGACGACGCCAGTCCTTATTCGCACCCGTAGCATCATCGACACGACTAAGGTCGGGGTGAAGGAGGCGGTCGAAGAAGCAGATGCCTCTTGCGTCCATCCACACAGACACAAACCTTGCTATACACGCACGCATCGCTGACATTGCCTTGGTTTATGAGTTCTGTATACACCAGATGCGCACCTCTTATATAGCCTCGTGCGCTGGCCGAAGCCAGGGCAGGCAGGCACCTAGGAATCACCAAGACGACGAGTAGGGGGGCGTACGGCAGAACTACAAATGATCTGACTGAAGACGAGATTCTCTTGCTCTTCAAATCTGTTGCTCCATCCGAGAGTGTTTGACCAAATCTACACAGATGATGTAGCGTTCGCAAGCACAGCACGCAAAATCAAGCCCCACATTGCAGGCGACGGCATCAGCGGCATCAGGATGTGTGTGGTCGGAATAAGTAGAAGACGCCGACGACCATCGGCGCCGGAAACCACTACCTACCATCGCCATAGGGAAGAAACAACTTCGGCTGTCGAACGCACACAGACAGGAATTCTAGCCTGATGCCTCGCACATAAAATAAGATGCTATTCACCAACCTGTCCCATTTTGTCTGCAAAAAGAAGCTCTCTGCGCAGTACCGGTCCAGCCCTTTTATGCTCATCACAGCAGCGCGATACATGCAACCTAGAAGTCTCGCCATATTGAACATCTAATGGCATGATCGGCTTCATTCTAGGTGATAATAAATAACCTTCCAATCCCCCAAGGCAGTTTCAGTTGCCAAAAAATGGGGTGACACGAAGAATATGCGACTTGAGACATGCGACTTCGCGGGCAAGGTGGTTTTGGGAGGCGCCTGTGTACCACTATCAGGCCGCCATCGCTTCTCCCAGACATCACCAGCGCACCCACGGCCCCTCCTGTTTCTGACGGAATAAACAAAAGACGCTGGCAAGTTCGGACAGAGAAGAGCAAGGAACACACATCCAGTTGGTCGCCACTTCAATTGAAGAAACACTCTTCTTGAATTCCCAACGTGTCTCATCCCATGCTCCTAACCCCTCATTACTTTCTGAATTTGTCGTTGCGCATCGAGACTGAAATTCTTGTCGTCTTAGAACTTCTAAAACTTTGCTTCAAATCCTTCATTATATATACCATCAGCGCCCAAAAAGCTGTTGCAGCTTCATTCTTCGTCCAATCTCACCGAGGAAGAAACTCAAGAAAATTGCAAAAAGAAATGCTGGATGCCAATCGCTGACGGGAATTGAGCCCGACGTGGGGGTCGAACCCACAACCTTGAGATTAAGAGTCTCACGCTCTACCGATTGAGCTAGCCGGGCGACTGAACCCAGCTGGTTTGTTGAAGGGGAGGCTCAATTGTTGTCTTAGGTAGCCTTGCACATACCGGCCCAGCTTCGTCCGTCAACTTCTTCGTCCTTTTCGCGATCCAGTCAGTCACCCAGCCTTTCACTGTCAGTTCTCACGCGTTCTGTTGTTTGTTTTTGTTTCTTCGCTTTGTACCCCAAGGGCTGTCTCTTCTTCGCTCGTTCGCCCATTTGCAAGCCTTGCACAAACGCATCTGCCAGAGTTCAGCCGAGGGCAGCCAAGTCAATTTAGTGGCTCTTCACCGTCACAAAAATATTGAACATCATCCTGTCAAGCATAAACTGAGGAATAAAATGTCAATTCTCGAAACCACCAAGTCGAGGTCCCATTATAACGCATTACTTTTCCATGTCGGAACTTTTCTGACCACGCAAAGAACGACTAAAGCTCGCCAACTAACTGATGCATCTTGCATCTCAAACGCCTCTTAATCTAATGCAAAGTGGTATGCCGTACCCTTGGGACTCCTGATCATACAGATTTTCTCCGCCTAGAATAAAAACTCCCAAATAACAAATGCCACCCGACGCCAATGCAGTCCGGTGCGTCACCAACGAAATACCGGGCGGTAGCACTCAGAGAAGGGGTATTGCACCCGCGAAGGAGGCGGGGGAGGAGCAACGCGCAAATCCTAATCGCCGTCGAGCAAGGCGTCCATGCCATTTCGCTCGCTCTCAAGGCTTTCGGCTGTGATCGGTCCGTCAAAGGACTCCTTCTTCTCATCGTCTTGGTTCGTCAAATCGTCAAACATCCTGTTGACCGCCACC